ATTTTGTTCAAACCAGAAACTTCAGGTGCAACCTAGAGCAACACGAGGAGTTAAATACAACACTAGGGAATTTGGAGAAGAATGTAATTTAAGAATAAGGAAGGCAATACGACATGTACAAATCACAAAACTGTGAGACAAGCTAAAGCGATATAATATGGAGAAAGGAAAGGATAGGCTTCCAAAGAGAACAATGAAGATATAAAGATATAGAAAGTTGAAAGTAATTGTAGCCTCGAAGATCCTGATTGAGGCAATGTTGCCTGATAAAGTGCAGATTTTAAGTAAGACTAGCTTGATACAATGGAAAGGAAACAAAATTTACCAAATCTATTATATTTGATAAATTTGAAAAGATTCATAAAAAATATGTAGTTTCACGGTTCTTGTCCACTTCAATAGCTTGAAACCTCATGCGGAGCATGGGTCAATGACGGGACTACAGAAATAGAAGAAAGTTTTGAAACCCAACTCCCCTAGCACAATAAGGAACTCACTCATTCAAGAACAGAGACATAGCTAACAACCGGCAAACTGTAATTAAAAAAAACATATCCTTTAACACATAACAATAAAGAAGAGGATCATCACCTAAACAGCCTAGTCAATCATGCGTCCTAAAGGTTATGAGATCAATTAAGTAGGTATTGGCTGCCTCCAGTGCCAGCATCCAAGAACCCTCTTATTCAAAGATGGTGGATTGCTTCAAAGTAGTGGGTAAGAACATAGGACCAGAAGGAATCGGTTCTCTATTTACATGAAATCCTGAATGCGTACTTGATGATAGGGACGGATCCAGAATATTTTTCATATAGACATAGACAATTATACATATATATTACTAATTTATGTAGTATGAATTATATAAATAGAAAATTTTTATTCATATTACCATCACAAAGATCTCAAGATTCTCAACGTAACCTCCTGATAACTTTATATTTTAGGTAATGTGGCTACTTGTTGAGAGTTGTTTGATTTGCCAAGTTAAAAGTAACAGATTGTGATTTAGAATAGTTTGAGGGAGCACTAACAAATATTGCACGGGGGTACCTATTAAAATTGGAGGCAAATTGTAATAATTTTACAATGCCCATGGAGGCATGTGCCCCCGAACCACCACCCTACGTCAATCCGTCCATCCTTGATGGTGTTTACAGTATGGGCGGACGCGGAGAGGAAATATCCTCAACAGGAGACATTTACCTGTGAATGACGGCAACGTTAATCTTCATAGCCTCTCCATAAGCATTGACTAAGAAAAATGAACGACAATTACTCTTCTCTCAATTTCTTTTACATGTCATTACTACTGAACTCATTCTGAGTTTGGCCTTCATTAACGAATTTTACCGACATTTCAACTTCCATAGGTACAATTACTTTCCACATCGGTTGTAATTTTGCCGCTAATTTAATGTGAACCAAAAAAACACATCCCGACCCATGAAAAAAATAGAGCTTTATGACAAAAATAAGTTAAGCTTAGTTATTTTTTCCTCCTCCTTAGTCCTTACTATTAAGTTTGCAACAGTGCCTGAGCTCCTCTCATTCATGCTCAATGTTTTTCAGTATCCGCATCGTGAAAGCCCTAGATGTACTAAAAAGATACAAAAAAGTATAACAATTACTAGAAAAATAAGAGGAAAACCCTAGTTTTGCTTTGAAAGGGAAATTTAAGGACAGAAGAGTAACATTTTACCTGAAAACAAAAAAGTTTTCTCTTCTCGATCTTTTGGATCGAACTTCGATCCAAACTCTTTTTTTTGTTTTTTCCTTTCGTGCGCCGCATTTGCCTACTTTGAAACACAGGAAGAGCGGCCGCTGGAATACTTATAGAGAGCAAGTTTCTGCCTTCTGCCAAATACGGCGATTTGGGGGACTAACTATAAAGTATGAAAGAGTTGGGGGACTAAAACGACAATTCCCTTAATGTTTTGAAATTGCTATTTACTGCTTCGAATCTCGGAAGTTCTTTGCTTTGGGAGGAATATTTCATTTAGAACAATTTTTCAAAATCGACCCATTTAGTTTTTTATTTTTCAAAATCGACCGTTTTTTCTTTTATTTATCAAAACCGACCGGATTTCGTGATTAGCAGGTTAATCACTATCCTAAATAGTCGGGGTTGGCAACCCCGACTATTTAGGATAGTGATTAACCTGCTAATCACAAAATCCGGTCTGTTTTGATAAATAAAAGAAAAAACGGTCGATTTTGAAAAATAAAAATCCGAATGAGTCTGTTTTGAAAAATTATTCTTTCATTTACTTAACTTTTACATTTAAGGATTTTCTAGGTATCACTGTGTTTAAGTGATCGAGATCCTCTTCAATTAGATGGCAATTAAGAGCGTTAAATTGAAGGGGCTTCAATTATTCTAATAACGCATCGTTTAGTATGTGAGAATGGATGGAATGAATGTAGGAACATAACTGAAATTGATATGGAAATAGAATGCTCATTCTCATTGTTATGTTTGAGTGCGATTATTGAATTAAGTGAGAATATCTTTAAGAATATCTAGAATTTATTTTATTATTTTTATTCTCACTTAAGTAAGAGCATCAATTCTTTGATAACTCATTGAGAATATCAATTTTCACATTAAGTGAGAATTGAGGAGAAATGGGAATGATGTTTCTAGAATCCAAAAACGCATCATGTTTGGTAAGCATGAATGAAAAGTTAGAATTGCATTCTATTCCCGCTCATTCCCATATAACAAACGAGGCTTAACACTAACAGTGTGTTTTACAAACTACACAAAACTGGGTCAGGACCAGTCCTAACCTAGTTTTGTGCTAAACTAGCCTTCTTTTGGACCCGGTGATTGGTCCAAAAGAAAGCTGGTTTAGTGGCTAATTATAGGCTACAATGAGCCAGCTCTAGCCATCTCATTTGTTAAACAAGAAACTACTTAAAATTAGGTCAGATTCAATCCCTAATTTTATAAGGTTGCCAAACACACCCTAATCCTCGCCCTCTATTTTAACTTCCATGACTGAGATGAAGTAGTGTTGGAATTTCACTATTATAACAACGGTTTTCAGGCTTAAAAATGCAATAAGTGATTTTCAAGACAATATTTGAGAATAAATACTGGGGTAATTGGACTATCTCTACTTACCACCTAATTAAAGAGAATTCAAACTTCTTAGTTAAATTACTCAAATCCAAATTCATCTATGTACACCTGTTTAATCCCAAATTTTAGTTTCTACACCAGTTTAGTTCAACTCATTTCTTTATTATGTTTTTTAAAAAGGATTTTAAGGGGAGAAAAGATTGACTGATGGTAGAATAATCTCAACATGTCTGGTTAACAACTAACCCAACTAATTTGGAAATTTTAATGAAAAGCTGATAGAAGGACTAATATGAAATAGGTAGATTTGAGGGGCTAGATAACAATTTCAATGACATTACTAGTTTCAAACAATTATGTTCAAGGGACCAATATATTTATTTAAAAAAAAAACACACACTGCACACAAAAATGTCAGCGATGGAGAACGCCATTTGTTGATTGAGAAATCCATATCTTTTTTTATTTATTTTTTTATTTTAAACAAAGATTTCAAAGAAATTAAAAAAAATCAAAAAAATGTCCCTCTTCCCTCTTCAATCCTCTTCCCTCCAACCCCAGACCCCTGGAGCCCCCAAACGCAAGCAACCCAAAAACCTCAAACCCCAGCAAACCCCCATTAAAACCCCAACCAGAACCTTCAAATGGAGCTCCCTCCTCCCCTCCAACCCCCTTCAAACCCTCCTCTCCGGCGAACACCCCGACCCCCGCGCACTCCCCCTCATCCTCTCCTCAACCTCACCCCTCTCCTCCCCTCCCTTCCGCTCACAAATCCACTCCCTCGCTCTCAAGCTCAACCTCCTCTCAAACCCCCACCTCCTCTCCTCCCTCGCCCTCTCCTACGGCCCCACCAAGGGCCCCACCCTCCTCTCCCAGTCCCCCGACCCCCGCAACCCCCTCCCGTGGACTCTCCTTCTTTCCAAATCCAATCCCCGCTCCGCCCTCAAGCTGTTCGACAAAATGCTCCAGCTAAACATCGAACTCGACTCCGTAGCTTACATTGTCTTAATGAAGGCTTGCGGGCAATTGGGTTCGCTCCGTGAAGCTAAACGGGTCCACAAGGTTGTTAGGCTTAGTGGGTTATCGGATGTTGTTGTGCATAACGCAATGGTTAAGATGTTCTTGGAGTGCGGGGGTGTTGAGGAGGCGACAAGGGTTTTTGAGGGGATGAGGGTGAAAGATTTGGTTACATGGACGACGATGATTGTTGGGTTTGTGAGGAGCGGGGAGTTTAACGAAGGGCTGAAGCTTTTGAGAGAAATGTGTCGAAAAGAGGGAAGAATTGATGGGTTTTTGGTAACAGGTGTGTTACCCGCTTGTGCTAGGGTTTCTGCACATAAAAATGGGAAGGAAATTCATGCAAAGATCGTGAGACTTTGTTTGGGGATGAATAATAAAGCACCGGCTGTAGAAAATGCATTGATGGATATGTATGTGAAATCAGGGAATATTGAATATGGGAAGAAAATCTTCAAGCGGATGGATTTTAAGGATGCGATTTCTTGGACTGTGATGATATTTGGGTGTAGCTTACACGGAGAAGGAGAGGTTGGAGTCGAGTTGTTCAAAGAAATGAAGAGGAAAGGTGAGGTTTTCGTGGATAGGACTGCATTTGCAGCAGCTCTTCATGCTGCAAATAGTGCTTGTTTGGTTGAAGAGGGCAAAAGTTTGTTCACTTTTTTAAGCAAACCTCAGGTTGAACATTATGCTTTGATGGCCGGCCTTCTATCTCGTGGAGGATACTTCATCGAAGCACGTGCATTTATTGAAGAGCACAAACTCACAAATTGTTCACCTGTGCTTAAAGCAGTGGTTGATGGGTGTAGAATCCATAGAAACATCAGGATGGGCAAGAGAATTATTGAGCAATTAACTGAATTAGAACCTTTAAATGCCGATAACTATGTTATGCTATCCAACTTACATGCAAATGAAAAGCTGGAAATGGCAAAGGAAATAAAGGAAACAATTCAAGACATGGGTTTAAAGACAAAGAAAGCCTACAGCTGGATTGAGATTAGGAGCAAGGTTCATGCATTTGGTACCGGAGATGTGTCTCACCCTAGATCAGAGGCAATATATTGGGAATTAGAAAGATTGATGAAGACAATGAGAGAAGAAGAGGGGTATGTTGCTAGAGAAGACTATAGTTTTCACGACGTTGATGAGGAGAGGGAGTGTATTGCTTGTGGACATAGCGAGATGTTGGCGATTGGTTTAGGATTGATCTCGCAGAGGAGTGGAGTTTTGAGAGTGACGAAGAATCTTCGGGTTTGTAGGAATTGCCATGATTCAGCAAAGTTGATCTCTAGAATTGTTGGCAGGAAGATTATCTTGAAGGATCCTGAGAGATTTCACCATTTCAAGGGTGGTGTTTGTTCTTGCAGAGATATATGGTAATGGGATGGATCTTGTTAATGTAGGAGGTGAAAAAAAAAAAGAAATCTATAGAGAGCCTTCTACAGAATATCATATAAAGCAGGAGATGTGACCTTTGGGATATTAGTGCAGTCGATATCAGTCAAGTCACCCGTCTATTAGTGCAATCATCATCAGTCACAAATACAAATAAAACTATAATGACAGACCGATAGATATTAATGGAATGTGCATTAAGATTCGTGATATGTCAGGTATCATCCTCTTCTTTCTATACATAGCTTTTTTATTTTTATTTTTATTTCCCCCTTCTTCTCATGTAGATGGGCTGTTTCTTTTCAATATTGGCCCACAAGAGTTCTTACCAGGAACCCTGGCTTCTTAATCTAGCGTCTCTTCTCTTATGATTCATGAAGTTGTATAGATCAATGTTTGGTAATGATATTAATTTCCTAAAGATTGAAAAATAGTATGTAGTTAATCCTTGTTTGGTTGCTGACTTTCTATAATGTCACTTGCACCTTGTGGACACAGTAATTAACTAATCTCAATCAACTTATAGAGGCATGTCATCGTCTCTTTGTTTATACATTTGATTTTGTAACTGTTAGATAATTCAGTTTACCAATTATCGGTGGGGGGCAAAATGAAGTAATTCCCCTTGATTTGCTACCAACTTTATAATAGCATACCTATCTCATTAAACAAATTAAGAGTATATTTTCTTTGAGATAGTTAAACTCAAATCCTTAAGAAATGTCTCTGTTGTTCCAAATCATTAGTTTAAGACTTTGCCTGTATAAGGCTTTTCACTGACAAGAAGAGAAGGAGAGTCCAGGATAATCAACACAACCACTGAAATAACATAATAAGCCTCTTTATCTGATTCAAAAAGTTATTAACTAATAATGAATGCCTAAAATTGTAGCAGTCTTCCACAAAACAATTTCTCTTAGTCGACAACGGACCAAGACCAAAGTAGTCAAACCGAGGAAAATTAATCCAAAGAAAAATCAAACTCTAGAGTTCCCTTTTATCTAAGAAAAACTTCGAAATTTCCTAGCAAAGCAAAAATAAAATATAAAAATAAAAAATGTAAAGGACCACATTAGGCTGAACAAAAAAGTTATCAGGTTCTATCTATCTGTGTAAAGTTCTGCTGAACTCCTACGTATTCCTCCTAGTCCTAGGACGCGCTCCTGCAGTATCTTCTTTTTTCATGTCCTCTTCCTTTTCGTTACTATTTCGTGGTTTTTCTTCCATGACTTTGGAACTTTTGCCTTTTGCTGTAACTGGAGCCTGCATGTAAGGAAACACTAGTGTGAGAATACACAAAGGCAAGAAGTTTATGTTAATGTCGAAGGCAAGAAGAGAACTTACTGCACGTTTCTTATTTCCCCCAAAAAGAATGTTGAAGATGACTGTAAACATAACTATCACAATCGACACAAGGATTCCAATTCTTAGGTTTGGTTGCTCCTCACCCTTCTGAATCATTTCCTGTGTCAGAGGAAATTTGATTTGATTAGAAACATATTTAATATAACATTTAGTTGGCTCAAGAAGAATTTTGTGCCGCTCTCTTAAAGGTAGGGCAGCATACCTAAGAAAAATTATTCAAAGATTCCATCAACATCTTCGTCGAATCTCTTTAAAAGTGTTTGTTGATTATCGTACGATCAGATTGATGGGGTGCAGGGAAAAAAAGGTCGTAACATCTATCTCTCAGCATGCAAATTTCATTTATAGAAATACATAAGGGAAAAAAAAGACCTGTCTTAGTTTTGTAAAATATGTCAATATTATAATTTTGTAAAGGCGTATGAGAAATTGACTTATCTGGATTGGTAACCTTAACGATCATGTTCACATACGTGCAGGAGTTTTTTACGTGAGATGTAACATATACGTAGAAGTATAAATTTTGAGTATAAGAAAGTATATCTTTAAAAAGACATAACGTTTTGTTTATTCATGCAAAAGGTATTGATATAGGGAAGATATTTCTATAACAATGTTATGGAAGGATGCATTGTAAAATGCATCAGAGGCAACAGCATGTAACTAGTAGTCTTTCAAATTTAGTACTTACAATGATCTTGGTTCTGTATGGCTCCAGTAAAGGAACATCCGCTACTGCATATAAAGTGTCAAACACCTTCTTCTGCAATTGGCAACAGTTCCGTTAGGAGAAGCTGATGCGAAAACCGAGGAAATCAAATAAATACACACAGCAAATCTAACAGTTAAAGTCACCTGGAAGGTTGAAAGTGCTTTAGAGAGACCATCAGCTGCTTCTTCAGCCTTCTCCTTCTCTTTCTCAGCATCATGCTTCGGCCTCCATGTCTTCTCTCTATACGACTCGGCAATCTTCTCATCACCAGCTATCAATATGTTATCAAACAAGATCCCTTCCTGCATTGTCCAGATTTCGATTCCGATAGCAGCAATAGGCTCAAAATCAGGTTTGTCAAGCTCAAAATAATCAGGATTGGGAATATCCCTCGGCTTCCACAGACCCTTGAAGCTTGGATTATCAATCAAAGGAGCATGCCATTTACCCTTATAAGCTGGATTCCTCTTCATTGGTCTCTTCCACTCGCCGCACCCTGATATTAGAGAACAATTTGGATTCTCAATCTTCGGCGCCTCCCATTCTCCATCCTCTTCATCATCCCAATCTTCTGGCTTAGTTGCTTTAGGATCATCGATTTCCTCTGGCTCGTCATCAAGCCAATCTTCAGGCTTGACAGCCTCCATATCTTCAATCTCCATCGGGGCATCCTCATCCCAGTCATCAGGCTTTACTGCGTTAGGATCCGGAATTCTTGCTCTCTCATCCCAATCCTCAGGTTTCTTCTCATCTGGATCAGGGATTGTCTTAGGAGGCACGAATGGCGGATCAAAATCATCGGCAGTGAGAAAATTGGCCGTCTTTTTTTCCTGGCCATCAATCAAGACGTGAAGGTTGTTATCGGGTTTTAGGACAGCTGTGTAGACATGAGAGAGCTTGTCGGACGGAATAGTTGGTGGGTATTTGAGATGATGCTCGATATAATCCCCGGTTTGGGGGTTCTTGTGCTTGAAGATGAAATGGACTTTGTTTGTAGACCCACATTTATCGGGTCCGAACATGATGGAGTAGGGAGACTCATTGTCAAACTCCTTCGAAGTCCAACCTGCATCTTGAGGTCGGAGATACTTGAGGTAAGCACCTCCGCACTCGAGACCATTCTGAAAACGGGCCTCAAACTGTAGAACAATGGTTTCGTCCTTGAGATTAATCGGCTCATCGAGTTCTTTAACTATCGCATATTTCCTGGCTTTTTCGCTCACAAGGAGCCCATAATCATCATGTCCCTCGCTCTCGGAGTATTTCCAAATACCTGGTATAATAAGTCATTGAAAGAAAAGTAAGTGAAGAGTTAAAAAGAAACAGAGGAAAAACTTTAAAAATATGAATGTAACAGAGACCTAATTTCCTGTTTAAATAGCTCTCCTACCAGGGGATAATCGCCAATTTCTGATGAGATATGACGATGTTTAGATACATGGGAACTAGTGTAGATATTCAAACTTATTGAAAATTGTTGACATATTAGTATTAGTATGGACTTATTTGTAAGTTGTGTAGGGGCCTATATAAAGCCCAAGAGATCTCATAATGAATTAGGGTTTCTATTTCTTCTTGGTATCAGAGACTCCACAAAAAACCCTAACCCTAGCCGCCCCCCACCCCCTCCTTTTCCCCTACACTACTCACACCGACCCCCCCCCCCCTTTGACTAAACCTCCTCTCTGTTCACCGATCAGCCCCCCACCCCCCCGCATTATCCTCTCATGTTCGGACAATCTACAAGAACAACAAACCCACGGACGCTCGCGAATCACCTGCCCAGATCCTACTGCGGCGACCCTCTGCAGTCCAGCCTCCCTGCAGACCCCCCATCCCCGACCAGGCCCCTGCAGATCCCCCAGACCAGCGCCCCTGCCAGATCCGCCGACCGCCCCTGCCCCGCCATCTCCGCCAGCCCATCACGACCCCACTACCAGAGACCGACCCGACACTCTGTCCCACCAACCCCCCCCCTGTTCCGTACCCTTCCAAACACCCTTCGAACCCTAAAACAACCCATGACCCCTACTAGCCGCTGCCACCTCGAACCCCCCCTGTTGCATCCTGTCGAACCTCGAGTTTGGCATGGATTCCCTCGACTCAGTCCTCGAACTGATGACAGGAAGAGTATATATCTCACAGCGATGAGATATATAACTGTTTTTGGTTCTTGTTTCCTCTGAGAAACAAGAATTTGTTTGAGATCCAACTCTTGTTGTGCAGCAGAGGTGTTGCCAAAATTTTTACTGCACACAACAAGGGTCGGAAGAGAAGGTGAACAGGTGGTGGGTCTGAAGCCTATTCGATGGAGGAGATCATCAAGAAGTTGAACCCTGCGGAGGTGTCAACTTTGATGAAGCTAATGAAGTTGTCGGCTGGTGAGAGTGCGACAAAACCATCGAAGAAGTTGGAGCTTCCGACCATCGATCTGAAGCTGGATGGACCTAGTACGTACCTGAGCTGGTCACGGCGGGTGAGATATACCCTTGCAGGGAGGAATCTGGAGGGTTATCTGACAGGAGGGGTGACAGAGCCGGAGGAGGACTCAGAGGGAAGAGATGAGTGGAAGTCCACTCATATGTTGGTGTACATCTGGCTTCTCAACTCGTTGGTCCCGACGATCGCCGCCACGGTGGATGGCATTGAGAAGGTGAAGGACGTCTGGGAGAAGTTGAGGAGGACATATGATGGTGTGGGGAATAACCTGAGGGTATTCCAAATTAAAGGTGAGATCGACGCCACAGTCCAGGGAGAGAGGACTGTACATGAATATGCTACAGAGTTGGAACGTCTGTGGCTGGATTATGATCATTTTCCCCCCGGGCTAGCTGCAAGGACCCGGGATGTAAAGAGCGGGAGGCCTTTCTACAAGAGAGGACTATGGTGTTTCTTAAAGGATTGACATCAGAGTTTGCTCAGCGAATCGCATTGCTGCTAGCTCAGCCGAAGATTCCCACGCTTGAGGAGACTGTCTCTGCTATGATCCAGGAGGAGACTCGTATTCTGCTGCAGGCGGGGACAGGTGGACTTCCTGTGGTGAAGTCAGCACTGGCAGCCTCTAGCAACACTGGATCTAGGGGAGAGACCCGACAGTGTTACAACTGCGGTGCGGTGGGTCATCTAAGACATGCTTGCACCAAGCCATCCAAGGAAGAAGATTCGGGTGGACGTGGACAGTTCGGAGGTCGTGGTCGTGGCCGTGGGGGTCGACGAGGTGGAAGAGGAGCAGAAAATCGGGCGAATCTGACGGTAGCAGAAGAAGAAGAAGCTGAGGTGGTCTTTACAGAGGTGGTCTTTACAGAGGAGGATCGTGCTCTCCTCACGATACTCAGGAAAAAACAACAAAATAGCAGGGGATGGAGATTTGAGGAGTGGGACTGCGGAGCTTCGTTCTTCGCCAGAGGCAACACTGCTACCTATGCTCATCCGACCAAAGGTACTAATGACATACATGGACTCCGATGTGTCTCGTCATGTGACAGGTAATGCTAGTGAGTTCTCATCATATACTCACTTAGCATCGCCTGATAGTATTCAAACAGCTGATGGTACATTTCAGCCGGTGGTTGGTAAGGGTACAGTCGATTGTACTGGTTCTGTAACTTTGTCCAATGTTTTGCATGCTCATTCCTTTCCAGTCAATCTTTTATCCATTAGTTCTATCATCTTCCAACTAAAATGCATTGTTTCTTTTGATATTCCCAAGATGATTTTCCAGGAGAAGGGGACAGGACGGAGACTTGGGACTGGCACATGGCGTAGTGGACTGTGGTATCTGGATCGTGAAGGGCTGGATTCAGCATTGGTGTCAGTCATAGAGGAAGCAGGAGTATGATATAAAATGAGTACTGAAAATGGGTTAATGCTTCATCACCAGCGTTTGGGACACTCATCCTTTAGTGTTTTAGGTAGATTGTATCCTTCTTTATTTGAGAAAGCAAATAAACAGAAACTTGTGTGTGATGCATGTGAGTTTGGAAAGCTTACTAGAAGCTCTTATGTTAGTTCTAGTCATAGAAGTTCTCATGCATTTGACTTGGTACATTCAGATGTTTGGGGGCCTTGTTCCACAAGTTCTATGAATGGATACAAGTATTTTGTTACATTTATTGATTGCTTCTCTCGTGTTACTTGGTTATACCTGATGAAGAATAAGAGTGATGTGTTTGGGTGCTTCCAAAATTTTCATAGGACTGTTCAGACTCAATACGGAGCAGTGGTGAAAGTATTGAGGTCAGATAATGGGACAGAGTATACCAACAGAGCCCTTGAAGAATATTTGTCAGCTCAAGGAATACATCACCAGACAACCTGTCCATACACACCAGCTCAGAATGGGGTAGCGGAAAGGAAGAACAGACATCTTTTAGAGGTTGCTAGAAGCATGATGATCTCTATGAATGTCCCAGAAACATTATGGGGGCAAGCAATATTGACCGCAACAGCATTGATCAACAGAATACCCTCGAGAGTGTTGGATTGGAAGTCTCCGTGTGAGATATTGAAGGGAGATAATGGTGAGATCCTTCCACTCAAAGTGTTTGGCTGTGTGTACTTTGTGAAGGACAACAGACCATCTGTCGGGAAGCTTGCCCCTAGAGCTGTGAAGTGCATCTTTGTGGGATATTCTGCTACTCAGAAGGGATATGTTTGCTGGAGCCCGGTGGAGAAAAGGTTGTTTGTGAGCATGGATGTGCACTTTCGAGAACTCGAGCCATATTACACCCAGAAGGTAACTTCATCCGCTGGTAACTCGCCCAATACTAGAAGTATGAGGCGAGAGGAGGAGAATGGTGAGAGAACGGTGAACAATGTGGAGAAATCCATTTCTGTATCGATTCCTTGGAAGGGAGAATTGGTTGAGGAGGAGCAGGAGAATGACGAAGAAAAGGAAAATGAGACAAGAGGTGTTAGGCCCACTGTTCAGGGGGAGCTACTAACTTATAGTAGGAAGGGCAAGCAAATTGTAAGAACAGTACCTACAGTGCCACTAGTGCTGCCAAGTCTCTTGCCAACGCCTACCCCGACTCCTGAAACACCTACACCACCACCAGTTTCATCCCAAGGTGATAACATTCCTACTGATAACATTCCTCTCCCTACTCCTCCCACACCAATATCAGTACGGAGGACTACTCGTAGTAATGCGGGAAATCCTCCCGATAGATATGGTTGGGATCTTGCCCAATTTGTATCATATTCTAACATCCACCCTGCACATGAGGCATTCATTGCATCATTGGACTCTGTTACTGTACCTAACAATTGGCAGGTTGCTAAGAATGACCCAAAGTGGAAAGCGGCTATGCACGAGGAGCTAGGAGCTCTAGAAAAGAACCGTACTTGGGAGCTAGTAAAACTACCAGAAGGGAAGAGAGCAGTTGGATGCAAGTGGGTCTTCACTGTGAAGCAGAATCCAGATGGGCAAGTTGAGCGCTACAAGGCTCGTCTGGTGGCAAAATGGAATAGTCAGACATATGACATCGATTATGACGAGACCTTTGCACCGGTGGCGAAGATGAGCACTGTTCGGAACTTAATCTCTCTAGCAGTAAATGGTGGATGGAAGCTACACAAACTAGATGTGAAGAATGCATTTCTTCATGGAGATCTAGTGGAGGAGGTATACATGGAGATACCACCAGGATTCGGTACAGATCAGACAGTGGGGAAGGTCTGCAGATTGAAGAAGTCTCTCTATGGATTAAAGCAGTCTCCTCGTGCTTGGTTTGATAGATTCAGGAGGGCTATGATTGGTATGGGGTACCAGCAGATCAGCGCCGACCATACCGTGTTCTTTCGAAGAAGTGGAGGTCACATCACCTTGCTTGCAGTATATGTGGATGATATGATTATTACAGGGGATGATGAGAAGGAGATTGCCCAACTCAAAGTGAGACTGGGTAAGGAATTCGAGGTGAAAGATCTTGGCTTGCTTCGATACTTTCTTAGAATAGAGATAGCTCGAGGAGCGGAGGGGATCGTCCTATCCCAGAGAAAGTATGCACTGGATCTTTTCAAAGAAACATGAATGTTAGGATGCAAACCTGCAACTACACCGATCGACCAGAAGTTTAAGCTGGGTGCTGAAGCTGGAGAACCAGTTGATCGTGACAGATACCAAAGGCTGGTGGGCAGGTTGATCTATCTGTGTCACACACGTCCCGATATTTCTTTTGCAGTGAGCGTGGTGAGTCGCTACATGCATGATCCAAGGAAGGATCATATGGACGCAGTGTACCAGATTCTAAGGTATCTGAAGAATGCCCCCGGAAAAGGGCTAATCTTCAGGAAGAATGAACACATGAGCATTGAGGGCTATTGTGACTCTGATTGGGCTAGCTGTGCTGATGACAGGAGGTCCACCTCAGGATACTGCATCTTTATAGGAGGCAACTTAGTCTCGTGGAAGAGCAAGAAGCAGTCGGTGGTGGCGAGATCGACAGCTGATGCAGAATATAGAGCTATGGCCTTAGGAGTTGCTGAGTTACTATGGTTGAAGAGTATGCTGGTGGAGCTGAAGCTGGATCAAGGAGCTAAGATGAAGTTGTGGTGTGACAACAAGTTAGCCATCGGTATCGCCAACAACCCAGTGCAGCATGATAGAACCAAACACATCGAGATCGATAGGTTCTTCATCAAAGAGAAGTTGGATAGTGGACTACTGGAGCTAAGTCATGTTTCGACTAAGGACCAAGCATCAGATTGTCTGACTAAAGGACTTAGCTCAGTAGATATGATTAGAGGATGTGACAAGATGGGCTTAGTAGATATCTTTCGCCCATCTTGAGGAGGAGTGTTGACATATTAGTATTAGTATGGACTTATTTGTAAGTTGTGTAGGGGCCTATATAAAGCTCAAGAGATCTCATAATGAATTAGAGTTTCTATTTCTTCTAAAATATTAGTCATTCTCATGGCAAATAAACATAAAACCAATTATATGGACTAAAAAACACTACAACATCAGGATGTAACAAAGACCTCCTAGATCATTTTCACTCTTCAAGTTAATCCGAAACTGCGTTTCAAGTAAATCTTTTGAAATTTGTACTTCAAATTATAAATTTGGAGGGTTGATCCATGATTGCAAGATCTTAAACTAATTAAATCCAGGTTTTTATGCCTTACTGGAAAATGGGTGTCACTCTATAGGCTAATCCGGTAATTTAACCTTAAAAGGGGAAAAAAAACACTAATTTAACATGAAACGTTAATTAACTAAAAGCAATTGATCGACTCATGACATGATCTAAACTAAGAGCCAAACAGATTAAAATCTTCGTGGTCTCTGAATCCGAAAGCAACAATTAATGATACATAATACCATTGTAAGCGTCCTTGTTCGACACGATCCATCGCCCCTCGAACGGCTCGTCGAACGGCTCGTAGAAACGCTGCAGTTTTAGAGATCAGTGAAACTCATCACAGATCACACACAACCAAAGATTTCGTAAAGCATCAAAAAGAGTTTTAAGGAGGATCGAACTCTAACGTCAACTACCGGATTCGAGGCCTGCAGCCGGAGCGCGAAGCTCGCCATCAAGGATAGGAGGAGCTTCATCGTGATCCTTCTCCTCTCCATTACTGCAGTAAAGGAGGAAACTAGAGATCAGAAATCCTAGCTTTAGTTCTAATCTTGAGATGAGCTTGAGAGATTTTTGAACGAGTCTTGCTCAGAAAAAAGGAGTGTGCTAATGAGAAGAGCGGGGGGGAGAGAAAAAAGGGCGCCTGCGACTGGGTTCTTTTTGCAAGTGATGCAAGCGGGCCAAGTCAAACAGGCCAATAGGATGCTGACACGTCACCCGGACGGGTGGTGGGCCATGTGTGAGTTGCTGGTTCTGCATGGCTTACGTGTGTCGCAAACCACCCTCCCGCAAAAACTGACCCCTTAACTTTCAAAATATCAGATAAACCCCCCGTGACTTTGGATGATTATTAGATAAACCCCCATGACTTTCAAAATACCAGAAAGGTTCCCTTACGTTTGAGGGTTATATATAAAAAAACCATCCCTAGCATGAAGCACTATTTTCCAAAAACAATTTACCTCTGCATAATATGTATGTATCCACACATGTAAAAATTTGTGGCTACCGACGTTAGGAGTATTTTGATAAAAAGTTAAAGTTTAAGGAGGTTTTCTGATAATTGTTGAACTTAAGGGGGTTTCCTGATATCTTGAAAGTTGTGGGGCGTCATTCGCCCAAAGTTAAGGGGGCTTTTGTGATACTTAGCCTAAGTTTTTTTTTCTTCCTATTTGCATATTTAATTTCCTAAATTTGCATATTTTTCTAAATTAGCCGTTTGAACTTTTAACATGTTAAATGAGAGGATTATAAATACATTGAGAGGATTATAAATACATTGTGGGAGAATGTAGGGAGAAATTAGCAAATAAGCAGATTTGGGAGCTAAATCTGCAAAGAGGATATATTTTGAGGGTATATTGGACAAAATAGCCTTTCCGTTTCAAGAAACATTTGCCGCCAGAAATCGAACGACTTAATTCCCCTGGATCCCCTCTCTTAGCTACTACATAACAAACCTAATTCCCAAATCCAAATCCAAATTCACGGGGGAAAAATCCAAAGGATTTCTTAAAATCTTCGGCTGTTTGTGAGTTTGATCCCAAGCTGTACTTTATGTTGTTGCAAATTTGGTTTTTGTGCGTTAAGAATGTGTTCTTTTGGAGCCGCACACAATGCGTTTGTTGTTTTGCTTCAACTACAGAAATTCGTCTATGCTGAATTCAATGTTAAAAAAAAAAGTAGATTCATCCCGTGATGAAAATAATCGAATTGTTAATATATATGAAAATGAAACAACATTGAAGTAGGACTCATTTGAGACGACTGAATATCGACCTCACTTTGTTGTGTTTTTGGTCGTCGTATTTGTTTGTGGTGAATGCTGTTACTCTTGGATAATGTCATTTAGTCCCTTGTGGAAAATGAATATGTTTTCATGGAAATGTAAACAAAGTGCTTGTTGTTTTGCTTCAACGAGAGAAACCTGTACCTGTTGAGTTCAGTCGTCATCAGTAGATTAATATCTTTCCTGATAATCTAGCATTGATAATATCTCAGGATTTAAGACAAAATTCGAGTTAAAGTTTATTTGAGATGACTGCATGCGCACCTCGTTTTTGGGTTGTTAAAGATGTGATTGGCTATCCTTGTGATATGTACCATGGTTTGTAGTGAATTTTGTTTCTTTTGTATTATGCCATTTTGGGCCGGAAGACCCAATTCTGTAGCCCAGTTCAAGTTGTTAACGTGGTAATTTTTTAGATTATTTAAATTCAATAAACTTTTAAGTGGTGTATGATTTATTTATACACTTACGAGCTTTGTGATTGTATCTCGTCATTGTCCAAGAAATTATTGGAAAATGCTCTCCTCTCTCTCTCTATATATGTGTGTGTGTGTGGGTGTGTGATTTTTAGTTATTTATTTATTTATTTATTTATTTTGCATGTGCTCTCTGGAGCACTGTTCTCTCACTTTTGTGGCAGCTTTGTTTTAATTTTTAACACATTTTTTCAAATGTTTAACTGCAGGTGGAGAAACAGGTCCAAATGCGTGCATGAATGAGGTCAGCTCAATATAATCCTCTTTATTACGTGCTTATGCAATACTTGTCTCTAGTGCTTCGTCATCAATTTGTTTAATATTTCTTTCCTATTACAAACTTATATATTTATGGTATATCTTGCTATGGACATTGTGATGAAAAGATGAGCCCATAGAAATGTCTTAATTAAGAAAAGAAGACAATCTTGTGTTCTGAGAGAAACCAATTCTTATTGTGTTTAACATACATAAAAAAAGGTGGCTGTTACATTAAGCAAAAAACATAATTAATAACAATGAATGATCCATATGATGCATAAACCACTTAATTCAGAAGAGTGTCCACAGTCTCTGAGACTACTTCTCCGGCATCCCGCATGATGCTATATATATCTTGATTCCTAATATATAAGAGGAGAATTATCAAACGGGTCGGTCTGATCGATGTCCGACCTCCTTTTGCCTAAGTACTTCTCTCCAGCATCTCTTGATACCTCTTGAAGGACTCCTGTTTCTGAATTTTTATTTGCCTGTGAAACCTTCTTATGAACAAATCAGCAGCTTTGTCGATCTCGTTCTTAAGGCTCAGGTCTGACCCATCCCCTGGAGAACTAATAAATTCAGTAACTGATATTGTGCCCCTCTCCAACCGATCACCATCTTCCTCCTCCGATTCCAGAATCGAGTCTGTGGTAGTATAGGGGTAGTCCTCCTCCTCTTCTTCTTCCGCGTACTTCACCAGTTCAGTGTGTGTGGATTTGTACGCCGGCACAACAGCCTTTTTGTAGTCCTTCGACTTGTCATCGACCTTGACCGCATGAACTTTTTGCAAGAAAACACTCGTTAGCACCTTCTTCTCATGAAGAAGCTTCAAGAGCGTTAGCCGGGTCTTTATGGCGTTGGTTTTGCTCCTCATTGCCATCGTCTTGGCTTTTGCTATTGCTATGACAAGAGACATTACTTGCTTTAGGCTCTTCATCTTTGGGAGAAATTGATCAGTTGGTAGTAGGTGACTAGTGAAGTAACTGAGTACCGAAGAAAGAGGGATGTTTTTGTTTAATGGGGTGGAGAATTTCTCAGTAGATAAGCAGATGAACAAGTAATTTTTGGCATGGAGATTAAAAGGAGGAGTTTGAAGGGTACTTATAGATGAGAAGAGAGGGTGGTTTCATTTGTGCCCATAACAATTCATTGCATGGTTTGGGCACTAAGGAAAGGTGAAATAGTGGGAGGGAAAGCTGTTACAGGGAAAAAGCAAAAGGAACTGTGGCAATAGGAAAGACCAAGATATCTGATTAGGTATCAAGGACATTTTGGTACATTATGGTGTTCAATTTGGTCCTTTAATTTAGGCCTTGGATTTTTTTTTTGGTTTGGTTTTAGTTGGATTCATTCTCAGAGCTGGTTGACAGTTGTGATGCACACTGTTATGAAATCTGAGTAAGTGGTTGTTTAGGAGTGAAAGATAACTAGTGAAAGATGGCTGACACATCATTATATTTTGAATTTTCCCAC